GTCTTAATTTAGTGTTTGATGGAAACAAACACAGCTGGAGTTTCGAACCTCTTGATTTCTTTTATCCAGCAGCAGCTGAATTATATAATACTAACTACCATTACTGTGTCTTGAACTGCGGCTCTAGCGATGAAGAGGTGTCGTTTTATGATCAGACAGAAATAATTAACAGAATTGTGAGGAGGATCAGTTTTGGGTGGTCGACACATTATCCCAGCTTTGAGTTTCGCCTCGTCCTGATTATCATGCTGGAGAGTGAGTCATCAAATGAAGTAAAACAGATTCGAGTTCAATGTAAAGGCGCCACATCAGATAGCATGGCTGTATCTTTCGCCGATTTTGATATGACTACACCAGAATACCACGCTACCTCTCTTGTTTCAGGTTCAAGCGAGTTACTCTCCAAGTCAGTGAGTAAGTCTCCATTTCTCGGCTGCTTAACTCGGCGGAATCTGGGTGATTTCTTTGCCAAGGGGAATTCACGAAATTGTTTCGCTCTATCGGGATTCGGAGCCGGCACCCCCCGGAGCTCGAAATCGACTTGCCGTCGTTGTACAACCCACCGCTTTTAGCACTTAACATTGAGTTCTGAACTAACTTTGACGAAGATACAGAATCTTAATGAATTTTTGAACATTTTTATTTATGGCGATAATTGCTTTTATTAATTAAGCACAAATCGATAAAAATAACGCATAAGTCTTTCAAAACCAGATTTCACAGTGACTGCATTACCCTTTGCTTTGAGTTTTTTACGAGGCCATTTAAACAGGTTACGGCTATATGGTATTTGAGCATTTTTAGTGCCAGGTGAACTTCGAATTATTGCATTCGATAGAGCAACCTAGCACTCATTACGAGCGGTGTTTCAAGAGCTGGTACTTTGAAATATGTTTATAAATCATGCCTGAGCTACAAGGATATACATCAACGACGAGCATTTTGCAGTGACATAGTTCATGGTCGTTATGTCGAAAATATGCTCATAATTTATCAGATATTACTTCCGGAAAGTTCAGTTTTCTGTCAACATCTTTGGTACACTTGTTTCCGTCTTGCTGCAATGTCTGTCATTCAGTCGCTTGTCACCTGACATGTGTCAGTCTGTCATTTTCTCCAGAAAACACTCTAGCGGACAAGAGTCTTGTCGTAAATCTGGTTAATTACTTGGATGAATGAACTTGAAGCTTTTTGTTCTCTCGGTTATTTATGCTGCCGAAAAACATTGCTTTAACGGAGTACTGTCTAAACAATCAGTCGCCATGCTTCAGACTTCAAAAACATAATCCACGAGGATCGTAAAACTTTTTATTTTATGAACTGAACCAACGACGTTCCACTTGTGTGACGTACCTCACAGGAAATGCGTAATCGAGAGAAAATGAGGTTGACTGACGCTGAAAACTCTCAAATCTTGTTTTAAACAAAAACGATGTAAAATTTATTTACTTACGAGCCATTCCGTGTCATTGGAGCATCGCAAAACCGTGTGTCGAGAAGGAGATGATGTTGCCATGACACAAAAACGATTGTCTCCTTAATCCGTCTGGATCAGCCTAAAGAGAAACTGACAAAATTTGGTCCCTCGCAGAAACTTTCTGTTCATGCATCATACTGTGATTTTGTACCTACGTGGGAGTAGCGAATTCTGACAGGAAAAATCGCCAATATGAGATGTAACTTAAGCAGCTTAAGAGTTACCTACGAAGGATAGCTGGTTCGAAGGATCTCACAGACACGCCCATTTTCCAGATCGAGAGATTAAATTGCGGCCATCTAGACATGTGATGAAAATATCATGGAAGGGACTTACAAGGCGAACTCTGTTGGCCAAGTCACAGGGAATTCGGCTGAATTGCGGAGACTGTAAACCCGGTAAAACGGCCAGTGTTAAACTTTCCGCTGATTACCACGCTGAATACTCAAATATTAGGTTTATTCAAGCGAAGTACAGCCCTCTGAGGTGCTGTCATCGAGGTACATCTCTTGTCAGTTCTGATGCGAC